CACTCTTGAAATATCAAGAGTATCAAGCAATTCATTCCTCTACATCTCCACTTGGGAAAGAAAATTTAATTAAAAGGCCATGTCAGCAAATCTTCCAGCAGTAAATTAAGGCTTGAGAGAGATTCAAGGATGAATACTGTTGTATCTGTAATATTTGTACGTAGGCCTGCTGAAAGTCAGGAAGATTAAGGAACAGTACATTTTGATAAATTATCACTAAAAATGATGTCTGAAAGGCATGTCCTATTAGCATTTTTCCTTTAGTGATGATATGTGGTGCTAATCCAGTTACCGTTTGGGATTCTCTTACAGTGACTTAACTGCGCTTCTTTCTGCGGCAACAGGTCAAGCGTGAGTGTCCCATCTGTAGTCTCAGAGTTGAGGGATGCTAAATGACCCTAACAGAGACGGTGTTTCATGTTCTCCTCACCATGTGCTCAAGAGAAAACTAGAAAGTGGAAAATATAAAACTAAGGAAGTTAAATTCTCTTTTATATGATTTGGCCAAAAGCTCTAGTCTTTTTCAGTTCAGGATATTGACCTACTAACTTAAGCATTCCATTTATATATCTGATCAATGGCTTTAAAAATGTTTCACGTAATTAAACACTTTGGGGAAGTATTGCGTTAGTATCCTTTTACTTTAAATGATCTAGACCTCTTGAGCAACAAGTACAAGGGTTGCTTTTGTGTTAGTTTAAAAAGCTGAGTTAGATACCCAGGCTTTCTTTAATAGGAGTTTCTACTTAAAGTTACAAGCTGGAAATGCTTCTTAAAATGAAGATTCCTGATGATTTTAGTGCACACTAAAGTTTGAGAACCAGGGTATTAATACTAGGAAGAGTGCTGATAAAACGAGGTTAAGCAAAAACTTTGAGAAAAAGTAATATCAAACCCAAAAGCTGCAGTATGTTTCTTATTTTGTTCTTGTACTCTCAATAGGTTGCCCCTTTGGTGGATTTTCATGATTTCCCAGAGACAGGCGATTTCTCAATAATGGGTTTGCTACTTATGATAAAGGTCTTATTTCAATAAAGCATTTCTGCTTCATTTATGCTCGCCCCCATAAAGCATTCCAAATGAAAGGTTAATTTACCAGGAACTCCTAATCACCCATAAAAGGAAGTGCAGAGTTAAAAAAAAAAGAGTTAATGAGTTTTCAGGGCTAGTTGTATCAGTGTTACTCGGAAGCCATAAATAGCAGGATAAGACCACCAGTGATGGGCTCCTAGGGAGTGGCCAGTGTGGCAACCCCCAAGAGCACTGGCTTCAGGCTCTGCTCAACACATGAAGGGAATGAGCACCAGCATGACATTCAGGCAGCTGCTGGGTGACAAGTGTAAGTAAGTGAATCACAAGTGGGAAGGTTAGAGAAAATGCCTCAAAGAATGTATAAACCCTACCTTCTGTTTAGCCTCAGTTTTCTGCTTCAGAAATGTGGCATAAATGTAAACAAGTTGGGATGAGTGCAGAAGGTAAGCCAGCCTGTAAACAAGGGCTAAGAGCTAGCTAAAAATAGTGATAGGATCTGCAAAAGCTGTTGAGAAAAATTAAAGGAAGAATACACAAGTTGGAAGGTATTGTCGGGTGGTCAACAGACTTTTCAGGGAAACAAGAGAGGGCAACACAAAACATATTGGATTGGGAAACAAAAGACCCAGGTTTTCTTCTCAGCTCTGTCACCAAGAGACCCTGAAACACTGAGCAAGGTAAACAAATTCTCTCTTTAAGGAAATGGCTGAGCTAAATGATTTCTAAGATCTCTTTGAAGTGTAATGCAATATTGTAAGACACGCCTTACTTATACAAAATGATTGTGATTGGTACCTCAGTGTCACCTCTTAATTAATGAATGTGTGTATCTCTTTGTCTTCATAGGTCTACGCAATGTACTATCAGGAGGATCAACCGAAGTGAAATGAATTCACAACAAAATCAATTACTTTTTGACATTTTTTTCTCTTTTAACTCCTTTATTAATATTAAAAAATTCTTACTTTTCATTGATCTTATATTTTTCTTTACAAATAATACTAATAGTATAACAAATAATTCAGATATTTATTTCCTTCTGAAACATAAATGTATAAAACTCAACTAAGAGTGTGCAAACCAAAATATTATATGCCTCTCATTCTGGAAATGTAGTCCAGATAGAGACTAAATTTAGAGCATTGAGTTTGATTAGGCTAGTGCTGCCCAGAGTCTTAGCCTCTTGGAAAAGAGGCAGGATTGAGAGTGGGAAGAGCATGGAGAAGAGGGACACGACTCACAACACTTGTTTAGTTTGTCGTAAATTCCCCAAGCACCAAAATGTCCATTATCAAAGGTTAGTAAAATTTACAAGGCTAAGAGACGGCATGGTTTGACGACACAGTTGATTGTGAATTATCTTACTGTACATCAGCTTGGAGCAAAATATTCAGATTTAGAGATAAAGACATAAAAGGAAATTTGGTTTTTTGGAGACCAGTAGTATATATATATAAAGCTCTTTAACTTACACTCTTTACCCTCTCCCTCTGAAAGATGTGAATCACTACTTGAATAGGAAAGCCCAAGTGAATGTTGAGTTCCTCTTTTATCTAAGAAATGATGGTAACATATTCCTGACAATGTGTCAACAGTGGGAGGATTCTGGGGAGTCTGGGGGGAGAGTTGGAAGTCACGTTCTTAGAGTGGTTCTCCATTATCTTGGTGGCCGAACAGATGGATCTCTTAAAATATTAGAGCAGGGCCCCATATCTTGTTACAAGTTTTGTGGCATTTTAAAACCCAAGATTCCCTCTCCTATTGCCTAAAACTAAAATATTAAGACAAATTTATTTTCTGTGTGGACTTTAGTTTTGGGCCCAGAAACTCTTTTTAAGTCAAAATACTACTATGAGAGACAGCATAATAAGATAGTATTATTCGCTAATATCTTTTCAGAAATTGATTAAATTTCCTATGAATTTAAGAATAAGATGGGGAAAAGGACAAGTATATTTTGATGTGGAAAGGAGTAAGCCAGAATTTGACTTCTCTGAAATCTTTCCTTGTTTATCTTAAGGAAAACATTATTTCCTGTACTATTCTCATAGTATCTTGTATATGACTGTATTGTAATGTTAAATACATTAAATAAGATATATTTTAGTAATATGTTCTCACAGCTGTATCTTACATATTGTAAATGATACCCTCAACGATGGAAACCATGCCTTTTGTACCTCCTCACATCCCCTAATTTCTAGCTCAGTTACTGGCATGTGGAACATATACCATAATTGCTCATTAAATCTAAATCATTACATTTATTTCACAATCATATTTTTTTTAATAATATGAACTTAATTTTTAACAGAAAAATCAAACATTTGGAGTAAAATGATTTCACTCTATAGGGTCAATGATAAAGCCTATAAATTAGCACGAGGATTGCAGGGTAAGACATCACAATTTGACTTTCCTTTCTAAGATCAGATATATGCCCAAACTTGAGTCCTCCAAGTTCACAGGGTAATAGTTTATGGGAAAGAATCTAACTGCCTCTCCTAACCAGCTCCCTGTCTGCCATACTGTCTTGCCAGTTAATTTCTCTTTAGAATTAGAGCTGTTACTGAGATGACAGGAAAATCAGTGCCACTTCCAGTGGAGAAAGCCCCATTTGATGCAGATGACAATGCCTGGTGGGAGATGAAGTTAGGGCATAACTAGCAGTCATAAAATATGTTAAATAAAATTAAAAACAAATCAAAATTTTTCCTTAAATAGCTATTATTACTAGGTGATTCTAATATAAATACATATTAGAACACTTCCAAAGCAATTTCTCTGAGAAAGTCAAAGGAACTAATGAATATTAGGGTATTAATTCCCAAAACATCACTGTGAGAACTTAGAAAATTAGGAAATAAAGTGAGAAAGAAATGAAGAATGACTTGTCCCATGTCAGTGGTTTGCCTGGAACAAAGTCCTAAGCCCATGTATTTTATGCTGGAATTGCTTAAACTCTTGCTTTCTAATATGAAAGAAATTCCCAAAGGAAGTATAATCTTCCAGTATGACGGGAACATGACTCTGAGCAGTTATAATATTTTTTTTAAAACACAATTTCTGGGGCCGGCCCGAGGCCGAGTGGTTAAGTCCATGCACTCAACTTCCGGGGCCCAGGGTTTCGCCGGGTCAGATCCTGGGCGCGGACGTGGAACCACTCATCAAGCCACGCTGAGGCAGCGTCCCACACAACACAGCCAGAGGCACTCACAACTAGAATATACAACTATGTACTGGGGGGCTTTGGGGAGAAGGGGAAGGGGAATGGGAAGGGGAAGAAAAAAAAACAGAAAAAAAGAAGATTGGCAACAGATGTTAGCTCAGGTGCCAATCTTTAAAAAAAAAAAAAACCACCACCACAACTTCTTGGCATTTAATATGCTTAAGAGTAGAAGCAAAATGTTAAGCAGTTAAACATATTCTGAATTCACTGTGCTTGAATATGGCACAGCATTTTTAAGTTATAATAGTCATTCAATCATTTAATTGAGAAATTTTTATCAAGCATGATATCTGTGCAGGGGCTTATCTTAGGCACTGAGAATATGAGGTGAGCAAAACAGACCCTTCCCTTACAATCCAGAGAGAAACAGACAATGAATAAGTAACGCCATCAATAACCTGAGTTACAATTCCGAAAAGAACTAGAAATTAAGGTATGAAGAGAGAATGTGCTGGTTCCCCAAGCCTTGACTGGTGAGTCGGGAGAGGCTCGGGTAAAATGTGATTATTAAACTATTAAAATAACAGTTGACTGCCCTCAACGCAGGAAATGGGTTTGTGAAAAAGTCATAGTTACTCAGACAGTGTCTTAGACATGGGAGATGTGCAATAAACATTCATGAAATGCAAACAGTAAGAACAAAAACGTTGAAGTTCCAAAAATATTCAATAAAGAATACAAATATATTCAAATACACAATTGAAAAAAAAAGAGTAATACTAACATGCTGTGTTCTTACCCCAATTGTTCCAAAACTTTCTGGTTTTCTTCTCATCTTTTTCTTGCACAGATGTGTCCATATCCACTTGATCAGGTACCACAGAGACTTGGGGCTCGGGATGACATTGAAGGGAGTAGGCAGGGTACCTCCTTCTTCAAAGTAACTCATCCAAAGCTTTGTTCGAGCAAATTTCCATTCTATATCTGCATGGTCCTGAACAGGAGAATATGACAACTGCTGACAGGTTTCTTAATTAACATGGTGAGATAAACCTCACAAAGAGCCTGTAACCTGACTCTGAGTGGCTTTTAGAATACTAATTAAATTGCTTACAAAAACACCACTGATTCCCGGAGATAGTCATCTAAACATTTCTGATGATAGCTTATCCTGGTAAGGAGTCACAGCTCCCCTGTCACTTTTCATCCTTCCCTCTTCCGTGAAACAGACATCTAAAATGATTCTATGTTAAGGAGACTATAGTGATTAGTTATGACTTGAAGATGAATCTTCATTTCCTGCACTGTAGGCTTACATTAGCTCAGACGCATTAGATTCTGGCCACAAACAGTGCTTTCTGTTTTACCCAAGGCCTTGAACACCTACCTAGGTGGATGCCACCTTCATGGATGCTCATGGCCTAGCCTTCTGGTTTTTCCAGGAAAAGGCCTACTTGATATGTTTCCATGTGAATAATTTTTGCCTACCTTAAGGCAACAGGCATAAACTCAGAGAGAAGTTCCTCTAACAAATGTAGAAAAGGGCCTCTGACACAGCATTGAACCTTGACATAACCTTGGTCAAGTGGCACCAGATGGGAATATGGCTAGTGGTTGTCTGCAAGCCTCAGAATATCCCCCTCATCATGTATTAATCATTCCACTTTATTAATCTCCTGAAAAAACTTAGGAACTTTTATGGCAATTAGATATAGGGCAGCCGGTCTCCTCTTAAATTAGCCACAAATCTGATTTAAGCAGAAAATCTGGGAAGTAGGAGGTGGTAGAAACTAAACATACATGCATTTTAAGAATTCAAAGCAGTTCATTTTAACCCAATAATATTATAAGAAAGGAGCTCAGATTTTAGAGTAGAAGAATAACTGTAGACTATGCTTTATTCTAATATGCCTACATTGCTATGTGCTAATGAATGCATTTGATATATATACATTTCTACTCTGAACAATATCGATTTTAATCTAGACACAGGACAGATTGTGCTTTCCAAAGGAATCACCATATCTAGAAAATGCATGGTCTTCATTGTTGCTTAGCAAATGTTTGATTGGATGGATTGATCGATAGATGGAAGCACAGAAGCTACAGGTTCCCTCCCCTTTTCTCTCCTCTTCCTCTTCTTCTCTCTCCCTCCATCTTCCCTCTCTTTTTTTCTAAACAAACATACGGATTCTGCATTGATGAAGAAAAGTATATATGGTTTGCTGTAGTCATGGAGAATGCGACTCAGCAGAATTGTCTCAAGGTTAATAAAAAGGCAGTCACTTAGAGAAAATGTCGGCCTGTGAGTAGCTTCAGCTCCTTCTGATTCTTTGATTCTCAATGAGTCACAAATTAAGGATTACCCTGACCTCATTATGTTCTCTTACTACTATCACAAAGCAGACTCTTCCTTTGTTCATGGCTTGGGATTCTGAGAGGGTCTGTAACAAGGTCTGGAGTGGTTAGAAAATCCAGAGGTGAAAAGTTGTAGGTTGGTGATGACTAAAGCTACCTTTTGCCCCCACCTTCTAACTCTTAGTCAATATTGAAAAGTTAATTTAGGTATTTCCTTTTCTAGGAAGCCTGCCCTGACTCCCAACAATGTCAGCTGCCTCCTACCCCCAGCCCACATCATGGTCCTCTTTGCTGTACTTTCACCACATTCCAAAATTTCTTTTCTCAATATTGAAATTATTTGTTTGTTTGTTTGTTTGTTTACCACTACTACATAAGTTTTTTCTTGAGAGCAAGACCTTCATTGTTCTGTGTGCCCCTAAAATCAGGCATATGGCTGGCATACATCAGATGTATGATAAACATTCAATCAATGAACAAATGAGTGAGTGAGAAGCAGGCTTTAGATATGGCCTGCCGGATTGCTTTTGCCTTTCAACTAAATTTTCCTCTTTTTTCATGCTTTACCCTAAAGCTGTGAGTTAGGGGTAGTAAGGCAAAAAGAGAAAGCCCTTAGGATAAATTCTGCTGGTGAAAATCAAATACTTGGCTTGTTCATGCTTCAAAGTGGCATCATGCATGGGATGCTGGGGGGTACACCTGTTTCAGGTTCTCAGTGCCTGCTCTCCTCTCAGGTAGTTATAGAGTTTGGGCTAAACAAAAATAGAGAATGGAAGAGCATTCTCACCTTTGTAAGAAGTAACCTAGAAAGTTATACCCCACAAAGAAACAAAAAGAAAATGTTATAGTATTCTTGAATCATGTTCTCTTCTTGACAAAATCAGTATATTGAATGTTTTCTAGGATCAAAATTGTATATACAGCTTCTCTGAATATAGGTTGATAATTAGAGGCTTTCTAATATTTTTGGAAAGTGGTCTGGAAAAGAGAATCCATTTTGGAAATGTGTTGACTAGAAGAATACAGAACTTCCGAAGCAAATACATAGGGACTATCTTTAAAAATTCAGATGTGTAAGATGCTTAAATCAAGGCCCGCACATTCAGATATTCACATGAAGATCTTAGAACCTAGTTATGTCCAGTAGGAGCACTTTAGTCTGTGATTCAGTAAATAAAAATAATGCATTCTTATGTTTTATGCAGTTTTCATCTGTGACAGGTGTCTTGCCTTCATAAAGACAGCTTAAGTAAAATTCAGAATGCTGCTTCTCAAAATAACAATAATAGCACTCCAGAGGTTTAACAATAGATTCAAAGATGCAATATAATTGTAGTTATTTATGGAGAAAATGGGCAGCCTATAATTATGCGTATAAAATACTACTTGTCTAAGGTATAAATATGGAAGACTTAAGAAATATATTTCATTCCATTATGGGTTTGCTTTGTCACTATTGCTATTGGCCATTACCATATATCACTAGTATGTAAGTTCAAGGGGATAAAGGGCTTTGCCTTTCTTGTTCGTAGCTGTATTTATAGTTCCTAGAACAGTACCTGGCAACAGAGAAAGTACTCAATAAGAATTTGCTGAATGAATGAATAAATAAATTAAGCTAAGTTGTCTGGATTCCAGAGTTTCAAATAAACACATATGCTATTGTATATTCTGCTACAGAATTCAGGCTTACTGCTACATTGCTTTTTTCAAGACTTTAAGAGACTGAAAATCCTGTGACTTTTTCCCTCAGACTCCCCTCTGAGCTATCTTTTGTATCTTGCCAAGTTGGCATGAGTTTCCTTATATCAAGATTGTAAGTTAAATGGACAAAGACAATGAAAAGCCCAAAAGGCACTGCATAGAGCGGAGTTGTCTGTTCATAATTCATACCTCACCTACTGCTTGTCGTAGCCAATGACTGCCTGGCAAGGGAGATGCAGTTTCTTTTATAATCATGTATAATATGGCAAAACTAAATTAGCACATAGCCAAATATGGTGTAATACTGCTTAGAAACTTCAAATTAACCATTTATGTTATATTTCTGATCTGTTTCATTAATAGTCAATTATAGACCTTATTTCCAATGATAATAGGATGTAGTATAGCTGGGAACAACACATTCGAGGGGGGAATATGGAAATAAAATAAAATTATTCAACTTACAGCAATAAGTTGGTAAGAATTATTCATCATAGCTATTAACATGTTGAGTAGGACAACCAGAGAGATGACATTGTACGTCCCAAACATGGTGGCACCAACAAACTCAGTGAATTCATGCTGTGCTTTGACATTGGTCACATATAAATTGATGAGCCCAAATATTGACCAAAATAGGGACTGGAGTGTCTCAAATAACCTGGAATAAAGATAAAATGACACTAATGGCTATATTAATAGAACCATCATACAATAAGATGTAACAATAGAATCTGACTTACTATCATGTATATTTGATTAATTTAAAAATACATATCAATAGTAAAATAATATGTCAGGGCAATTATAAAATTAAACATCATAGAGGTTGGCCCAGTGGCACAGCAGCTAAGTTCGCACGTTCCGCCTTGGTGACCTGGGGTTTGGCGGTTCAGATCCAGGGTGCGGACATGGCACTGCTTGGCAAGCCATGCTGTGGTAGGGGTCCCCCATATAAAGTAGAGGAAGATGGGCATGGATGTTAGCTCAGGGCCAGACTTCCTCAGCAAAAAGAGGAGGATTGGCAGCAGATGTTAGCTCAGGGCTAATCTTACACACACACACACACACACACACACACAAAATTAAACATAATAAAAAGAATTAAAGAAAATTGTTTTCACCATACTAGCACCAACGGTGTACTTAATTTTCCCAAGAGCTTTGAAAACTGCAGTCAGTTACCTAAGGCAGGGATGCTGAGTCTGACCCACAGCCTGTTTTCGTATGGCCCCTGAGTTAAGAATGGCTTTTGTTTTTTCAAAAGGTTGGAAAAAACTCAAAAGAAGAGTGATATTTTGTGACATGTGAAAATTATATAAATTCATATTTCAATGTCCATAAATAAAGTATTATTGAAACTCAGTTACAGTCATTCATTTATGCATCGTTTATGTTTTCTTTTGTGTTATACTGGCAGAAGTGAGCAGTTGTAATGGAGAACATATGGCCCACAAAGCCTAAAATATTTGTTATCTATCCTTCTCATGGAAACTTTGCCGACCCCTGTCCTAGGGCACTGAGTGATAGTTAATAAATGACAGATTCTTAAGCTAAGTCTTTGAAAAATGTCAGTACTTTTTCATAGTTTTGCTTTTGGTTTAAAATTAAATGGATTAAATGGAGGATTAAAAATAATGTTATCATTATGGATTTCTACGTTTGCAATTAAATTTGCACACAGTGAATCCTATAAAGGTAAAGAGTCCCAGAATGCCTAGAAAATAAAGTTTGCTATTTTTTATATTTAAGGGAACATTTTATTCATTCCTACCAATGAATGAACTCTGTTGATTTTATTGAAAGTAAAGTTTCCTTAACTTACTCCAAGAAATGGGATAAGATGAAGAGTGTCTGAACCCAAGTGAAGAATTGCTTCTTTCAGCAGGACCATTATACCACCTTGATACAATGTAACAAAGACAACAGAACTCTTATACACTTTAACATATGGTTGCAATAAGACTAGTTCAATTATGTTGTAAAAACAAAACAAGAACCCTCTCATGCCTGGCATGGTGGCTACGGAGGTAGGATTTCAGTCTTTAGGGTGGTTAGCATTAGTTTGGAATCATGTTGTGGGACCAAGTCAGTCATGCTTTCCGGCAGCTCCCAGACCCAGTGACATTGTTAAACATACACCCTTTTATCAGAGGTGGTCCTTAAGTAGGTCTCCAGAGCCCCCGGCCCAGAACCTCAATGGATTAGATAAATCATGGTCAACTGACTCAAGGAAGAGCCAAGTCATAGCAGGCCAGCGGACAACGGCATGGCCTATTGTGAAAAGATGAGCCTAAACAATCAGATTTCCTCTCCAAGAAAGTTTATCTTAGAAATATCCTGAGAACAAGGTAGTTGCCAAAAAGGATGAAATGAAAGGAGCTATGACGTAGAGTCAGGATCAGTGGAATTATATGAAGCCAAAGGTGTGAGACAGCACAAACTAAAAAGCAGAGAATTGAGGATAAATAAGCCAGATAATAAGAAAACTGAAGAGAATATACACGGAGTAGTTGAATCACGGTAACATGGTTCTCAGAGTGAAGAATCCTGTGGCCCAGCACTATGTCAGCTCTGCTCTTCCTGAAGCCAGGGCGTGCTAAAACCAATCTTTGCTCAGAGGATCAAAGGGCTGTAATCCTGTTCACAATTCTTGTAGCAAACTCCTGTTACTTGAAACAATCCGTGAATTTCTGGTCTGTATAACCAAGAGAATCTAACTAAGGATGCCTTAATTTGCCTTCAGGACTTCTTTTTTCAAATTTATCACTTTTTTAAAAAGAGTAACCAGTTTTATATTTTTAATTGCATAACTAAATTGTAATTATAGGATATGAAATTTACTTGTTTGTTCATCTTGCTAGAGTTGTTCAACAATGGAACAAAATATCACAAAGTGGTAAGGGAGCTGATCTGATCAACTTCAATTAGATGGTGACTCACAAGCAGGGATGGGCAATATGTGAGGAGCTGACCATGTCTTCTTAAAGGGCAATCCAGATGTCAGATTCTAACCATATCAGGGAAAGTTTAATCTAATTCATTTGTCCTAGACAAAGGCCACTAAAAGTTACTCTTTGAAAACTTTCTCAAGAAAAAAGTAAATTTGACCCAAGGCCATGAGTTCTTTATTTTTAGTGACTTTAAGGGCAATTTCTAAAATTAATGATGATGCTATTTGGATTTAACATGAAATGTTTTTGTTCTTTCTAAATAGTGTATATTCTTACTGTGAGTATACAAATATGATTCAGCTAGTTTTCTCTCGACATCAGTAACAGTTCAGAGAGAGCTGAAGTTATAATATAAGTGATATAATAAATTATATAAAATTTTGCCACATACATCCCATAACAGTTGTTTCCTTAAATAAAAACAGTCATATAGAATAAATAGTTTGTTATGGTTAAATAATTTTGATTTACTTCTGTCTAAATAAGAACTACTAATTATTAGGGAATACTAGTAAACCCTTTGGCAAAATTACATTTTAATTAGAATTTGAAAAGGAGAAAATTCAAAGTAAGATGACATTTTGTGATTAACTCTGGATTTCATTCTTATTTTTGTTTTCTTTTCCTTTTTTCAGTGGAATGAATCAGAAGTGAGATTTGCAGAATAGTTCCACTTAACTAAAATATATTTAATTCTTCGATGAATTAAGACCCTGGTATTGAGACCTTGTTGTTTCTAAGTTAATTATTTTTTATCACATGGATTTTAAAAAATCAATCTAGGTTTATATTTCTAGGCCGTTGCTTCTAGAAATATTTTCATAATTAGTGATTCCCAAATCTATTGATAACCACATTGCCCCCAATTGAAGAGTCATTAGCTGTAGCACATCTGAGACTGCTTTTAAGTGACATCTATTTTCCTAATTCTATGGTGTGATAAGGCCTGAAAACTTTCCAGAATAATGCCACACTAAATTAAATGACACTTAGCATAAAACCCTGTTTGAAGACTAAAACCGGGTAATTTGTATGGAGTGAGGCTACAGTTTTGCCTTCCTAAAGATGATATTTTGTCTCTTGATGATTTCTCAATTGCTACTTTTAAAAATTAGTTTGTTCCCTAGTTAAATACTTACAACTAGAGAAAGCAAACAAGTAAAAAGGTAATGAATTGTACAATTGAGATTTCCTTTTATCCCTTGAGACTAAAACTATGAGGAAACATAAATTACTACAAGATGCATCTGCATATTTTATTCTTAGTTGATAAGGAATAACGTAATACTAAAACAAATAAAGTATGTTCTTAATTGGCCAGTTCTAATTATGTGGAATACAGTGCCAATAATTATAAAAGGGCTTTTCTTAATCAGACATTTGTCACAAAGCCCATGGCCTTATCTTCATAGGAGAGCCACTTACTCAGAGACTGTTAGCTTAAAAATGTGTGTAGAATAATTTTGGTGACTAAATGTTTGGTTTCCTTTAGTGACATGTGGTTCTTCCCGTGTTAAAGAAGAAAGAACATGCAAGTGTGAAAACAGCAGGAAGAAGGGTCCATGTGCTGGTGGGAAAATGCACAGAGAGACTAGAAGACATAGTCCACAGTCTGTGCCCCCTAGGAGCTCCTGGTCATCAGGGTGTCAGAAAAGGCATCCTGGAAAAAGTACATCTGAGGTAGGTTTTGGAAAATAGAACAAAATTTTGCAAGTGGGGCAGAACAGGGCATTCTAGGATTAGAGAAGATTATGACATGTTTGAGGATTGATAACCTATTAGAAAATATTGAAGAGTAAAATATTCTTGAAGAATGGAGAAAGGTGAGGCTTGAAAAGGAACCAAGAGGCAAATCATTGAAGGACCTGGTATGTCAAGCTAAGGAATTGGGCTGTATCCAGTAAGGAACAAGAAAACATTTCGACACTTAAAACAGAAGATTGTCAGGATTTCGGTACAGAAAGATCATTTGGGCAACAGGATGGAAAACATATAAAGGAAGGCAGAGCCCAGGGGCAGGGAGACTTGCACTTAGGTGTGGGCAGTGAGCAAGGGGAGATAACACCAAGATAGTCAAGAGCAGGAATAGACTGTCTGTGGAGGGGGTGGGGTTAAAGAGGATCTAGTATTAAATATCTGGGTGGGTTTTGGTGGCATTGACCAGGAACAAGAGTTGAGGAAGAGGAAGAAGAAGTTTTGAGAGAGACTTTGACTAGCTTTCTTTGTTTGGGTTTAAATTTTTAGGAGATATGCATGGAGAGGTGTCCAAAAGGCAGTTGGACCTACAGATCTTGGGGAGAGAGATCTGTGCTAATGAAATGGGTATAGGAGTCATCTCTTAGACAAACTGGGCCAAATCCATACGCATAGATGAGTTTCACAGGGTCTCAGGATAGTTGCTAAAGCAGATCACTATTTAAAAGCAATAACTGAAATATAATTATCAGAGGAAAGTAAGAAAAATTAGAGAAGAAATAAGTGAACAGTAAAAACACAGTAACTTTAAAATTAAAGGAGGACAAGATTTCAAAAATGAAAGTGATAAAGAGGGTGAAATGATGCAGACACAAAAAATAAGATATAAAGAGATCAATGTCCATTGACAGTGGTGATATGGAAGCTCTAGATATTTTCTAGAGTAGTTTTAGTGGAGTGATGGAAGCAGAGGCCAAACTGCAACTGGATAAAGAATGAATAGAAAGACCAAGAAAACAAGGTATCTTGTCTCGACTTCTTTTCAGTGTTGCTTGGAGGAAGGGAAGGAGGGAGACAGGAGTGGTAGCTACTCCCACCCCTGGGAAACTCAGGGTTCAGGTACATTTGTTCCTTGAGTGAAGGAGAAAAAGAGAGGAACCATGTGAGATGCAGGTGAGAGATAATACTCTACTACTACCGATGAAAAGAAGAAGAGTAGCTAACATTTTTTTTTTATCACATTATATAACAGGCCCTATGTTAGCTATTTTACGTGAATTATTATGCTTTTTAATCCTCATATAGAATAAGATCTCTGAGATGGTGGGTAGTAAAAAAAATGATCTTGAAATTTACGGAAGTTACAGAAGTAAAAAAAGAAAATTGAAGACCCACAAAAACACAGAAATACGCTGTACAGTGAGCGGGAGCCCCGAGGGCATCACTGGACATTCCTTCACAGTGATTGACAGCCATTAGGCTGAAACAGGGTCATCAAGGGACAGCTAACCCATACCTGTCTAGTGCACTCTGTATATTCAAGTGCATTAATAAAACTAGGAGTGAATAATCTATTTTTTAGTTTTTGAATAACTTCAAACAAAAAATAAATTTTTGCTTGCCAATTTACATTTCATTATCTGGAAAAAAACCAGGTAGAACACCTGATTTATTTGGGTTGAATGATTTGGGTTATAATATTTAAGACATGCAATTATCTGTTGCTTTCATAATAATAGCGGAAATCATTGGTATGGATACACAAAAATAATACATAATCCAAGCAATTCAGTATATTTGCTTTTAGAATACAATTTATATAAGACATTTTGCATCAGATTCTCTAGCCATACTCTTAAAATTAGTTTGTAATATGTAATCACTTACCATGAAACCAGGAACAGGGCAAGGGGATTCCTGGAAATCTTAGAGATCATAAATTAAGATGGGGTTAGGTATAACCTGGTTAACTGCAGATGAATCAGATGTCTGAAAAGGGCTTGGGTCTTGGAACCAGAGCTGTTCCCTAAATTCAAGAAGACCTGGGAGGAAACTCAGTTCTAGGTACTGTGTGGAAGTTCTTTCTGCAAGACGAAGCATGGAATCGGAAGGATAGGGCAACAGACATAGACGCGGTGGTCTTGGCAAGCAGTTTGCATCAGGGCACACAGTAAAGAGTCACAAGGGAGCTGTGAAAGACTGAGTGTGCAAATTTCTCCATCAGAAATCCAGTAAGCCAGTCAGCAGAGTGACAATTTCCAGGAAGTTTGTTCGAGGCAGAATTTAGTCTATGAGAGGGGAGGTTGGTGGGATCTGACCATTGTAAATCTCTAGTCCTAGTTCCTAAGGGCAAATTACGAAGTCAGGGATCACAAATGAGTGGGGAAAGATGCTAAGTTCAGATATCAAAACTGAGACACAGTCCAAGGCCATGCTTGTCACGAGGATGTTGCCATAAAGGGTTTCATTGACTCTCTCCTGTCCAGGGTCAGAAAATAGAATGAAGAAGATGACAAGCCTGAGTAAGCTGGTCGCGCTGGAGAACTGCTGTTTAAGCACAGAGGAATAAAGAGGCTGGGAGCAAGAGACGAAATGACAAGGGCAAGCTGGGATGACTTCCTGTTTCTTTATGATTCACGGTTTGTCTCAAATATACTTCCGAGAAGATGTGAGTCAGTTAAGGCTGAGATTAAAATTTCATGTGCAAATAAACAGAGGATGATTAACTAAAATGGAGTTTTAAATATTGAGATCAAAGATAAAACAGGTACAGAATTGAACCTACAAGGATATTTTAACCATAAGTCATTTGGTTTCAGTGAAGTTATCAATTTCCTCCTGCTTAAGAAATTACTGTACTCTCTTATATTACATAAAATTCTGTAATGGCCCATGAATAGAGTCTGAATTTTAAAGTCACCTACAAAATGACCATGTATTCACATGTAGTGACTGTGCAGAGTAGAGTTACTGTGTAACTTCTTCACTCATCTGCTAATTAACTGTTTATCACAGTTGTCGGTTTATCACAGTAGGAAGGAAATGGACATGTATGTAGAAGTATATTCCATGAGGACTGTGTGAGCTTCACACATAGTGGTCATGAACCTGTGCTGTCAGCAAACCTGGTTGTGAGAATCACCAGAGGCTGACACTGGAGGAGGCTCGTTGCTCATCAGGTGTAAGGGCACAGAGAGCTTTGTGTGCATAGTAATAATAGCCTCCATTAGCCTTGGGGTTCTATTTGGATTATTTCTTCATGCTTAGATTTTTGTATAGGGAACTAGAGAATGAAAGAGACATGTGCAGGGACTTTAGTATCTGCAAAACACATGAGGAAATGTTGACAAGCACTTGGATTTTCTGACATGATTGGTTTCGTATATATTCTATCTTTTAATGTACTTGTAAGCTGCCAATAGGGCACAGGTTCCCTTTTTATTCCACATTTTAAAACAGTATATATAGTTTTCCTTCATATGAGGTTGTTTAAAAGAAAAGACCATTTTACTAAAACTTAAAGGTACGGGATGTTTTTTTAATGTCAGAAAGATCCATTTGTGTTCAAAGCCATGTTAATTCTGTTTCTTGCATTAAGCATAATTTTCTTTGCAACCACTTGTCACAGTTGAAATTCATAACATAATACACTCTAAATTCTGCACAACGTTACCAGTGGAAATGTCTGCTCGACTTACGTTGAAAATGCATTATTCTGCTTTTCACATCGTATGCCTTTGCAGCTTAACCCTTTCGTTTCTTCATAATAGAAGTATAGTTGATTCAGGCCATTTGCAAATGCTAGCAACACGAGGCAGTATATGAATAGAAACTTCAAAATGTCCAGGAGCATTCTTCCCAGGGATATTTGCAGAGGCCCCAGGTGAGAATTTGCGGTAAATAGTGAGATCAGGCGCAGAGAACTGAAGATGTTTGCAATGGCAAATAAAGCTTCAGCCACCAAAGTGGGGTGCCACATGTCCCAAGATTCTCTTGGATTAAGAGCACTGTACTGGAGAAAAGAGAGAAACAAAGGGAAAATGAAACAAACATGTATATATGAGGATGTCAAGTTCAGGCCAGGATGCTTTTTCAGGTAGATCCAGCCTATTGTCAGGAAACTCAAGTCCTCCATGGTGGTGGCAGCAGTACTAACCTATACAAACATAAGAATTTATGAAAGTAGTTTATAATTGATGAACTTTAATCAAAGTGGCCTTCCTGGCCTGGCCTTGTCATTGTGTTCTTTGTTAATATGTGAATTACATCTTTCCTTGACCTTTCTAATGGAACTTTAAAAAAAGAAAAGGAAAATGTTACGTGGGAAAAACCATCTGATTTTATATTACGAAAAGATAGCAACATCATGATAACAAAAAAAGCTACTTTATAAAGGAAAACTACTAAATTTTCAACAAAATAATCAATAGCCTTACTTACTATATTTGACAAACTTGCCTATTCTAGAGGAAAGCACGTAGGATACAAATTATATATAAATGAGTGGAAGTAGTGGTTTGTTCCTTTGGAAATAATAATGATCAATATGGGCATAACTATTAGTGTTTTGTACTTGTTACATCGTAAATAAAATCTAACTTAGAAATCATCCTGGAAGCCAACGAATTGTTAACTTTATATTTAATAGGTAGAAAATGTGATGTTTATCTGAACATTCCTTAATCAGATAAAATATGTGACTTGAGAAAAAAATATTTGCTACATTAAACTTTGGCCAGCAATTATTTAAAAAGTAAGACTTAATTAAAATGTCTGCTTTGAACTATCTTGATATTATTCAGCTACAAAAAGAGCACAAAGAAATTTATCCTTTGTACTATTGAGGTAAATTGTATTCTTTTTTTTAAAAAAAGGGTCAAATATGCTCTTTCAAATATTGCATTTTAAAAATCTGTATAAGAATTGAGCAATAAGTTGAATTCTCTTCTTCATACACATCGCTAAAAAATACGTCTAGACAATTGCATCTTTGTCCTAATGGTCATGTCAGAAAAAAACTTTTACTTCTGTGTGAGTCTCATCAGAATATTTTCATTCTTTTTATATTGCATTTTATACCAAAGACCTTTACAGATGTTATTTCCCTTGAAACTAATAGATAGTATTTTTTAATCTCCCTGAGGAGAAAATACATCATAAGCTCCTGATTTCGTTCAACCCTCAGACTCTTGCTTGAGTGACAATTTAAAACAATCAGATTTGAACTAGAAGGAAATTATTTTCTATTTTTAAATCCTGATAACTGTTCTTGAATATTCGCATGCATAGCTTTAGCACAAAATAGCTAATGATTGAAGATACGGAAAAAAAATAAAAATTTAAGATTTTTTTTGTTGTTCATTATAACAAGTATCAGAGCGAGGGTTGGTGGTAGCAAACACAACCTAATTCTCTCCATTCAGCCCACCCATATATTTTGCCACCTTCCGCCAAAGACTAAGATCACACTCACCTTCCTTTTCTCACTTCTTTGGAAAGACACACATATTTAAGTAGAGAACATATTCTCCTCTGTTGATGGCTAATTACATATTTCTCTCTTTTGTTAACCTAATGTGGCTTAGGGCCACATCTCAAAATATACACAATATGAAACAGTAAGCATTCTTAAGGATGTGATCATTTTCTTGGAATTTTTCACAACATTTAACACAATGCCCTGTATGTAATAGATGCTCAAGAAACGTTTTCTCCCATCAAATATTCATAGTCCAGTGAGGATGACAAGGACAACTAATTATAATGAGAACAATACCAGATATTAACACAAAGTGCTTTGGGAAAAGAAAAGAGAAAGTGATAAATTCTGTCTGGAGCTGATGGGGCCAGGATGGATGGAGTTATATGTTGATGGAGCTTTAACGGTTCTCTGACATTATCAAATCTAGCGGAGATGCTGTTCGTTACTCTAGTTTTCACAGCCAGTCGAGGCAGTTGGATGTAGAATCCATCATCACATGGTGCTTGACTTCAGCTCTGTTATTGACTTACTGTGCTTCAGAACCCTACTCAGCGAATTATCTCAGCTGGGACTCACAAAATCATAAGAGGAAGGTTTTCCATTTTACACATCATGAGATGCTAGATTCTGCCCCAGGATAATGACCCAAGTCTGCTTCAGAGTGTAGCTTCTGGTAATTGTTGGAAAATAATGCTCCACGAATATGTTTCCATTTACGCATAGTCAGGGCTTCCTGAGCAAAACATTGCTGGCATCTGGGTTAAAGGATGGCAAACAAGCCTTGGAAGTTAAAGATAGAGAACTCCTGAGAGAGTTAGAAACGTCTCCCCTGGAGCCATCTGCTAACACTCTAAGGATAATAAACCTAGGGGCCTCTGTTTCCCCAGAGAAAATTTGTTTACTTTAGAAATTTAAAGTCTTTCCTCCTCCTTCTCCAGGGGGAGGATGGGCATCTGGCACAGCTGCACTAGAGAAGCTCTGAGATTCATAAATTCCCGGTTCCTCTCCTGTGGGACAGATTCCTGTAATCGAGGGGGACATGTGGCTCTCATCTGCCGCCCTGTGGGGGATTAGGGCATGGTGACCGATGCTAAAATCGTTTATAAGTAAATAATTTGTCTATTCTCTGACCCAGAAGTCTCGTTTCCTATCGGGAATAAATAGAGATATAAACATTTAGTTATTATCTCTTGATTTCATTCTTGTAAATTTTGCTTTTCAGTTTTTCCCCTGTCATTCACATATACATTTGCTTAGGTTTTTAAATACAGGCATTGTCTTACAAAGCAAATTTTAAAATTCTCACAAACCATGGTGTTCTTTACATTTGTAAAGAAAAATTGTAATTCTTCAGTTATTAAAGGTATTTTTCACACCTGTAATTAGGAATTAAAAGATTAACTTGAATTAAAAATTTTCCTTTGGCTCTATTTTCTAAAAAGTATCCACAAAATCTATATTCTGCCTTTACTTTCGCATGTTGCCTCCACCCATTTGTGCTGCCTCGTCTCAGCAGCCTTTGCAGGTTCCTCTTTCCCTCCTGCCCCTTAAAGGTTGAGTTTGTTCCTCCAGCCTCTTCTCTTCTCATTTTACCTATTCTCCCTGGATGTTTTCCATGCTTTCAACTGTCAGGTATGTGCTGATGACTCTCAATTCTGCGGCTCCAGCCCAGACTCCTCACTTTACAGTCATCTTTTACATTCCACTGCCTTGTTGACTTTTCTGCTTGGATATCTCACAGGCATCTCAAACTCACAGGCCAAAAATGAAACTCCTCATCTTTTCATCCTCAAACTCGTTCTCCATGTATGCTTTCTCGTCTTAGTGAATGGCAGCAAATCACCCAAGGCAGAATTGGAGGTTGATCCTAGAGTCTTCTTTCCAAATTCTGAGTCTCTAAACTTAAATCTTGTAGGTATTACTTTCTCCTCTTTATTCGTATCTTCTCTGGCTTAAAAGAGTTCCTCTACTTCCCAGAGAAATTACTAGAATATGCCGCTAACTGCTCTCCCTGCCTTGAACCTTATCTGTACAATCATCTATTTCCTCCAGAATCATCTTTCAAAAGGGCCAATCAGGGGCCGGCCTGGCGGTGTAGTGGTTAAGTTCACATGCTCTGCTTTGGCAGCCTGAGGTTCATGGGTTCAGATCCTGGGTGCGGACCCAGCACCATTCATCAAGCCACACTGTGGCAGCATCCCACATAAAATAGAGTACGATTGGCATGGATGTTAGCTCCTCAACAATCTTTCTGAAGCAAAAAGAGGAAGATTGGCAACAGGTGTTAGCTCCGGGCCACTCTTCCTCACACACAAAAAAAGGGCCAATCAGACTATCACACATTTTACTTAATGTTCTTCAATGACTCTGCATTGTCCTCAACATGAAATTCTGATTTCTCAACAATTCATGGAATTTGAGTCTTGACTTCCTTTTGAGATGGTCCTGCCACTTGTCCCTAATGAGGTACTCAATGCTCTATCTCAAACCTTTAGTAGTGGTAATTCCCCTAATTACCCTCACATTCTTACCAAAATGCCTTTCTATTGATACCAGGCCTTTGTCTAGAACGGATTTAAGTGCTAATTATTTTGATTCTCCAGCTATTACTCATTCATAAAATATATGTTGTGTGCTTACTCTCTGTCATGCACTATCCTCAGGGTGCATAATCTTGATCAGACAAGATAAAGTTCATGCCATATGGGTTTACAAAATCGTGAAGAAGACAGACATTAAACAATGCTAATCCTTCCTTTGAGAAGTACACTTTGACTGCAGGTGAGTGGACACTAAGATCCTGCTGACCAGAGCCTGTAGCTCCATGTTGTAGAATAATCCTTTAGAGAGAGAGAGAGACACCAAGAGCTACCTTCACACCTTTAACCTTTCTAGGACCATCAATTCCTGCTTTCCTTTTTCTCTCAAGTATTTGCTTTCTAGGCTAAACCTACCACAGTTTGGTTTTGCCCTAAGCCTTCATTTCTATTCAGATTCTTTTTAAGAGAACTGCTCCTTTTGCAGACTATAAGATAGCATATTTGTGTTTGTACTACTTGCCAGTTTTCCACATAGGGAGGTTTGTCTAATGATTTTAGTTACTGGACGTCTAGTAGAGTGCTTTATATATGATAGGAGCTCAAAAAGCATTCTAGGGTGAAGAATCATAGACATATTCAAAAGCATAGTTGTCAAAAAGGGGGATCATTTGTAGAAATGTAAGTATCTTAATATAGCTGGAATACAAAAATTTGGGGAATAGTGATGAGTCTGAGAAGAAGTTGGAGCCAGGTCACGAAGATCTTAGCAGAAGCCTTAAGAGAAGAAGATGAGCCTTAAGATAAGTTCCTTGAACATAAGAAAATATATATTAGTTCATCTTTATGTCCTCTATGGTCTCTGACGCATACTTATAAAAGTCAAGTAATGAATCAAAATATAGGTAAAAATTAAATTGATGCAAACTGAAAATATTTGTCATATGAGATTAAGAAGAAAATGTATACATACTGGTTTTAACGTCTGATTGA